ATATCCGGAATCATATCCAACATTCTCTCATCACAAAATATAACAGCTTCTCTGAACTTCGCCTTTTTTGATAATGGTCCTTCAATATTTATAATTTTTTCTGAACTCTCTCTCTTATTCATTCCTATAATGTTATCTAATTTGCTTCTCTGTTCTAAAACAAAATGTTTGATTATACTTAATGCCTTGCCACGGTCATCAATTACTGCAGTTACAATGTAATATTGCTCGACTGGATTTTCAACTTTGGTTATGAAAAAGATAGTCCACTTTTCGTTGCAATCTGTCAATACAATCAATACATCTAACGCAACATTTGCATTTGCGATAAGTAATTCTCCTTTAGCTTGAGATTCTTCTAAAATTAATAATCCTTGGAGCGACTTCTTTGTTTCTACATAGACGCATCCTGTTAGACTTGGGCCAATGCAAATATCAGTTCCACCCCGTAATATAGTACGAGCTTTATCTAATGTTACTTCTTTTTTTGTAGATTTATGAACATCTTCGATGAAATAATATTCTCCTAATTTTAATATATTTTCAAACCAGTTTTTGACATCCTGCATTTGTTTGTCTTCATCTTTGTCCATATCCCAATTAAATCCATCACACTCTATAGTTGAAGAATCTGGGAAATCTTTGGCACTAAGCTTTATATAGAAAAAAAGATGAAATGAGAAGGAACTCGTATTAGGAAATCACTGCTTTAGTAGGCATTATTATACATACTCGCATGTTATCAATACCCATAGTTTTCTCAATTTTGCTCATCTTGGTACTGCTCAGCTTTGATACACTTATCACTTCAAATGGTTTTTCTTTCATTGCTTTATTCACTGCATTCTCTACAATCTCCTGCAAACTCCTATGATCTATAAAAAAGAGAAATATAAGATTAAGTAAAGCACTATTAATTGATACTCTGGCATCAGAATAGAACCTTACCTTGTGTTTGATACGTTTGATCTGCAATATAAGAAGTGAAATCAAGAGACAATATTGCAGTTATAGTTGTCAGATGTAAAATTGTTATGGAAACAAGTAAATTTTGTGATACTAAGTATTCCTACCGTGATATTTTTTTTACACTTCTAAGTTTTTATTATGATAAATTATTAGATCATTATTTACCTTTTTCGCCTTTAAGAGTATCAATCAAATATGCGATTGATTCTGCTGGTCCTCGAAGTAAGCCATCATGCATAAGTTTTGCTTCATTTAAACGTAGGAATTCTTGACCGGTGACTCTATTCTTTCTGATCACTTCAATATCCTCCTCCTTAAGGCGAAGCTCTTTTTTCTTCTCTTGCAAAAAATTTATAACATCTTCTTCCTCCCACTTTTTGATTTCTTCAATGCTTGGAGTTGTTGAAGTAACCTCCCTGTCTTTCGTAGATGAGACAACACTGGCGTGCTCAATACCCTCCATAGAAGCTATTATATCGATAAAAATGGGTTACTTCTTTACATCTTTACAAAGAATCTTCGCAATATGCCACTTTACCTGTAGATGGTTCTCTTGGGAAAGTCGATGTTTTTTTCTCAGATTTTCCTTCAACTTTTGAAGATGTACCAACATTGATAGTTTGAACATCCTTGGGAGCTATTTTTGTCAAGAGCAATGAGTGGGATATCTAACA